AACAATGATGCTTAATGGTTACTTTTGAAAAGTTTTAAATTTTTATGATTTTTGGAATGCTACAAATATCAGTGTTGATAAAAATTTACAGAGTTATACCAAACTAACATACTAAAACATATTATGGCCATTGATTCAAATAAAATTGAAAAAACTGCAAAAACGGTCCCTATTGTATGTATTTTTTTCAAGTTTTGGTCTAAACCTCGTCTTTTTTGGATTGGTGGTCTTTTTTTACAGGTTTGGCTGTAGATTTGGTCCCTTGTAAAATTGATATTACTATTATACCCTTAATGTATTTTTTTTTCTATTTTTAAAAATTTATTAGTATTAAATAAAGAAAAGCCCCATATACCCACCCACCCCTACCTGTTCTTTCTCTCTCTCTCTCACACACACTTTTTTCTTTCTTTATTTCTTTCTTTCTTTCTTTCTCTCTTTCTTTCTCTCTCTCACTCTCTCACACTCTCTATCTATCTATCTATCTATCTATCTATCTATCTATCTATCTATCTATCTATCTATCTATCTATCTATCTATCTATCTATCTATCTATCTATATCTCTTTCTTTCTTTCTTTCTCTCTCTCTCTCTCTCTCTAACAAATGCTTCTACTGACAAACCTAGCTTCTCAACTCTCCCTTATTGTTCCCTTATAGTGTCATTTCCCCTACTAAATATATCCCAATTCATCGATCGATTCCCTAGTTTCCTTAGCTGCCTCAAGATGGCCAACAGATCAAATCCATAATCGTCACCCTATCAATGTTTGTCGGACCACCTTGTAGAAACCCCATTAAACTTATAACTCATTGCTTCATCCCACGCTCCCTGATCTTGTCGCCATTCCATATCACCACTGTCGATCCCTTCCGGTGAAGCAAACCATTGAAACTGATGATACATCAACCCATAATGAAGCCATCCTACTTGAAATCCTATGAATCGTAGCCATCATGTTCGAAATCTCGACACCAACGGAGCTTCAAAAACTTTGTGACTCTTTTGATTTTCGTTTTCATTTCATGCGTTAGGGTCCTATACCGGATGATATTAAAAGATTCACAAATCCTAATATTCTTATGTGTGTGTGTGTGTGTTTGTGTTTGCTTCACATATCCTGATTTTAATTTTGTTTCTTCACATACCTTGAGTTGAGGTTTATGCATAATATATCTGATTTGACAAACTCTACATGGTATTTCCCTCTTCCGATCGTCGCATTGGATATTTTTTAGGTTTATGCATAATAGAATGGTTTTGCTCCTAATGTCACAAAGAAGAATAGTATGGTCTTCAAGACCATTATGAAGATAATTCAATTTGGAAGAAAGAAACAAAACTCATTGGAACTCATCTTGATTTTTGAAACCCTAAATATGAAGGTAACCCTTTGGTTTTAGTTAGTGTTCATATGCAAGTTTCTAATAAAGGAGAAGGAGGGGAGAGGGTGGGGCCCATATTTTAAAAGGAAAATGACACATATTCCCTATGAACTTTCTAGGGTTGAACCTTTTAGTCATTCAAGTTTTTTCGTCGCTTTATGAGGGAACGAAGTGGGTGGAAACCTAGCAATTTAGTCCTTTTTACTTATTATGTCTAGTTACCGTGCCACATAATCCACTAAAGATTATGTGGCTACCTAGTCAATATCACATGGACAACTACCATTTATATGAATTGGGGACACCTATCCCCAAATCCAACCATGTTTAAATACTGTCGTTATCAAAAGTCATTATCGAGAGTTTCTTGTTTCATGAAATATCTAATTGTTCATATGGAGTTGCTGCATCGATTAAGAAATTCATGGAGGAATAATGTGACCTTCAAGCCTACAAGGTGAATTCATTTTCTGAAGTGGTTTCTATAGAAATCAAAAACCTATAAGAATCGTTTTATGATGGAATTAAAATTGAAAGAATTATTTTCCTTAAGCAATGAAGCAAGAATCTATTTTCAAAAACAAATGTGCAAAGAACACACCGATCTCGTCTATGAAGGAAATCTATTTCCAAAATCGTTTGTTGAATACGAACCATTCAAAATCAATTCCTTAAATTGAAACCTACCTGGTTTATTAAAATTAAAACTGTAAGGTCACACCTTATGATTTGATGAGTCAAGCACACGACACACTGATAGAACATCGTTAACGTATATTACATCTATAGCGCTGGAATATCAAACTTATCAATGTCAGCTTACAGTTCAGTTATCCGATTGTAATCTTTTGTATATTAGGTAATGATATAGATAAGTATAGAATAGATCATAAATCTTGTATCTTTGTGATAATATCAGTTCTTAATATAGATTAGACGCAATCCTTTCAATCAAGGGATATACATGTAAAGATTAGTATAAATACAACATTAGGTCAAACCCTAATGTTGTGATTGTGGATTTATATTAGTCATCTTTGTGACAAACCCATCTTCTTGGTGAAGACAAAACTTTTTTTTGGTGAAAAAACAATTTGGAGAACTTTTGTGTTATTTACTTTCTGTTTATTATTTTGTTTAGATTAGTTTTATGTTTGTTATTCATACTTGAAGTGTATTCAATCAATACAAACCTTCAATTGATATCAAAGCAAGTTTTTGATACACTCAAGTAATCATGTCGACTTCAAGAAATTCCAAATCCTTTGGTCTCAACAAAATTCCTCCCTTCAATGAACACAACTTCGCCATGTGGAAAACCAAGGCCATGGTGGTTCTTGAAACCATGGACTATGAGATGAGAAATATTTTTGAAAAAAGTCCCCATGTTCCTATGTACCAACCCATGGCCAATAATGCTCCGGTTGGTCCCCCTGAAGCAAAAGCCAGAGACGAGTTATGATGATGATGATAAAAGATTGCTTAGTCTTGATGTAAAAGCAAGGGTTGTTGTTGGAAACTCTCTTCCGTATCACGTGTATCATCTCATATAGAATTGTGCATCAACTTAAGAGATGATGGATATGCTAACAGTGGCTTATGAAGGCATTGTGGAAGTGTATCCTACGATCATCAATAATCTTAATAGGAGATACGAGCATTTATTTACTCAAAAAGGTGAGTCTCTTACCCACACCTTCAATAGGTTTAACTGTTTGGTTAATGATATGCGCAGGCTGGGAATCATCAAGAACTCATCATAGTTGGTTCTAAAGTTTCTCGATTCTCTTGGGAAAAGCTGGGAACATCACACTGATGTTCTTAAGAATGTTGAGAAGATCGATAACATGGATTTGAATTCTTTTTTTTTTCGATAATCTGCAAAATTATGAAGAGACCAAAGCTCTTCGTAAGGAGATCGTGAAGGACACAAGCAAGGAAAATTATGTTGCCCTAGTGTCTCGAAAGGAAGCAAGGAAGACCATCAATGACTTAGATATTATAGATCAGGGTGAAGAAAGTGATGAAGATCTCACCAATGAGCTTGTTGCCAGCGTTACACTTATCGTCAAGCGTTATGAAGAAAGTAGAGCAAACGAGGTTAGAAGATCTTAATTCAAGGGAAGCAGTTCAGACCATCTTTTGACACATCATCATCCCTAGAAGCATGCTGTTGTATGTGACAAAATCTTTCTAAGTTTCTCATCATCAAGACCATCTTTTGGTAAAACAAAATAAAATTTTAATGCACAAAAAGATATAGTAAATAAAAAATAGCAGCTTATGTTCAAAAATTTTAAAAGTAGCAAAGCATAAAACAAAATTAATGTATCGGTTCGTTCTCCCTAAGAGCAAAAAGCACGATTTTGTTTTCAGAATCAAACACTTTTCCCTCATGATGGTTGAAAAGAACTTTGTAACTAGCATCAGAAAGTTGACTGATGGAAATGAAGTTTCCTTTCAGACCTCCTACATAAAACACATCCTCCAGCTTAATCATCCTGCATTTAAAAGTTCCAATGCCTACAATAGCTCTTCCACTATTGTCACCAAAGGTTACCATTGGACCATCCTTCTCTGTAAAATATGTTAAGAGGGACTTGTAACCTGTCAAGTATCTAGAGCTTCTTCTGTCTAGGTACCAAGTTTGACCTAGATTTAGACTTGATCCTTTACCAGCATGAGAACTATCAGTGTCACATATGCCATCAGGAGAATAATTTATAACAGCCATAAGACCCTTGACATTCATCCCCTCATCTTCAGAAGTCTCCTCTTCTTATACCCATTCTTTAAGATCCACTTGTTTTGTAATGAAGGCTTTAGTTAGAGAGATGTTTTCCTTCTTCATGTGAGCTACCATATTTTTGTACAAAACTTCATAGTTCTCAGGGTTGTGGACTTCTTTCTTCTCCTTGCAATCCCTAGCAAAATGATCAGGGATTCGACAGTTAAAGCAGTTACATGAGTTTCTCTTTTCTGAAATGGATCTTCTTTCTGAACTGCTTCCCTTGAATTGAGATCTTCTAACCTCGTTTGCTCTACTTTCTTCTTTAAAGTTTTATGATTCAACATAATGTACCATACGTAGATGAGAGCTTCACAAATCGGTGGCGGTGGGTATATCATTGTCATATTACAAAAACCTATCTACTCTTGCCATTTTTCGTCTAATAAAAGTGATTTATGAGTCAGCGTATGAAACCAGACACTGACGAGATCTCGCAATATTATGTCAGTAAATGGTAGTTTTAGCCCACACTGTCAGGAGACATCATAAACCAACTATATGATCATCATAAATTCATTCGTTGATCGATTAAGCTGATGCTTCTTGTTGTTGATGACTTGTTTTACTGATATAACTTCCTTGTCTCAATGGTAACCTTTTGAATAACTTCTAACAAGATTCTTCATTATATTGGGATACGAGATCTTTATGGCACATATATCGTCACATAAAAGGAAGAAACTTTTTTGGGTATAAATTGGGAATTATTCATCCTAGGTCACTTTTACAAGAAATTCAAGCAATTCAAGCAAATTAAGTTCTCTTTAAAAAAGACTCCAAATCGTCATCTCCCACAAAGCTTTCACCATTTCAAAGTCTCTGTATGATTTTTTCCTACAACACTAACATCACCAAAGGTCCTTATGCCCCTGACTCTACCATCATCATTCAATCGACAAATGTGGCATTCTTGGATGAAATTTCAAAGCAGTTCACGAACTCAGGAATCGAAGATTTTGTCAACTATGTCAAGAGTTGTCCTCTTCGATATGCATTCTATGATTTCCTAGACCCTTTCTACCCTAAACAAGTATGTGAGTTTTCCTATACACGCTTTATTGATACTGTTGATCGAACCATCACTAGAACCATTAGACATGGTCAATATAGGGTTACCATTAACGTGCAATCCTTTCGAACTGATGTTCATCTTCCCTGATTCAAACGTTACTCTAAAAATCCTTCTGAAGAAAGTTACAAATCTGTTCGTGAAAAATTAGGGTATAACTTCCATCTTCTAGGCCTTACTCGTGATCCATACAAGAACACTCTTCGTCAAGAGGGGTTGATCCACGAGGTATGGCTTTGGGTGATTAGGAAGCATCCAACTCCAACTTTCAACCCTTATGCCAACACCCATTATTACTGCTACTCTTCATTAGGGTGATTACGAAGCATCCAATTCAAACTTTCAAAATGTGGTGCTTTCCCAAATCTCTCTAATTATGCAGATTACTCGGTCAATGGATATAAGGTTAACAAAAGTTGAAAAGGATGTGGCCACAATGAAGTGATGTATGGCTTTGGGTGATGATGATCCTCTACCTCCACCTCTATCAACAAATCTTCCTCCATCATCCTATCCCCCTCCAAGCACTCCTCCTCCTCCTAACTCTCCTTCCCAATCTGATGCTACCAAAAATAGGGAGAATAATCAAGAGGGTCCTCAGCCAATGCAAATGCAGGTCGTGATTGCATCCTAACCTGAGATAATTGGATGAGTTGAACCTATTCAGTATATGTTTATTCCAGAACCAGAGCACAAGATCTTCTATCTCGACAGTCAAAATCAGATGTGCTTTCAACGTACTGATGACCTTCCTTCTGCTCCCACTGAACATTTGTTTCATCTTCGCTTGGAAGGACTAGGTCACTATGAACTGGAAAGAGGATATTGTGAGCTTATATCACTGGAGCTTAGTAGAAGACTGGATGAACTTAAGCTTGATCAATTCAGATGAGTCAAGCCTGAAATCTTAAAAGAAGCGGACAAGTTCTATAAGCTTATTAGCATCTACTACATCTATAACACCAACGTATCAAGCTTATTAACGTCAACTTACAGTTTAGTTATCCGATTGTAATCTTTTGTATATTACGTAATGATATAAATAAGTATAGAATAGATCACAGATCCAATATCTTTGTGTTAAGATCAGTTCTTACTATAGATTAGATGCAATCCGTTCAATCAAAGGATATACATGTATAGATTAGTATAAATACAACATTAGGGAAAACCCTAATATTGTGATTGTGGCTTTGTGTCAAATCTTCTTTGTGACAAACCCGTCTTCTTGGTGAAGACAAAACTCTTTCTTGGTGAAAGAACAACTTGGAGAAAATTTGTGTTATTTACTTTCTGTTTATTATTTTTCTAAGAAATCGAAACCTCATCTACGTCAAACATTTCAAAACTTTGATGAACACAAACATTTTCAAACTCACCAGTACAAAAAAAAATTGAAATTGAAATCCATCAAATCGATTTTGATGAACTCTCGTTTCTTATTTGAAATTAAGAATAGAAACTTCATATTGAAATAAAATAAATCCATCCGATCATTTTGTCATGAACTCTCATTTTTTATATGCGATTAAGTTGTGTGTGTGTGAGAGAGAGAGAGAGAGAGAGATGGAAAAGAGGGTATCATAGTTGGCATCCAACATATTTGTGTAGGTGGTGTTGTTATCATTCATCAGAGTTGTGTTTCCGTCGAAGAACGCGTATTCCACATGAATATTGGAGTCGATGTAGAGGCTTATGAAGGGGTAAATGTTTACAGTGAATGTCTATTCGTATAGGAGGATTTTTTTTGACTTTTTAGAGTCAATGTTGGGTCGATGTTTATGTGGCAAATGAGTAACCGGGTTACACCTTCATTTTGTCCAAATAACCAAATTAACCCAACAAAAACAATTTTAATGATTTAGAAAGCACGGAAAATACTTAAATGACTGAATGGGTAAATATGCAAAACATCATAGGGCTAATGTGTCAATTTCCCTATTTTTAATTAATAAAACTTTTTAATTAAATAAAGAAAATACAAAAATTGTATAAAAATGTATTTTAGTTTTTTCAGTTTTTTGAGGAACCAAAATTACAAGCAAATATAACCAAAAGAACCATCAATTCAAAATAATTGAAGTTTAGACTAAAACAAAAAAAAATTGCATAAAAATTAATATTTGGTGAGTTAGAAGTTTATCCAATTTAAACATATATGATGTCCAATCTCATAATTACACAACAAATACTTTGTATGAAATGTGGATATAAAATATGAGCATCATAACTCAACCTATAGTTGTACATAAAACGATATTATTTTAATGGTTTTCATAAAGAAAACATGTTTATAAAATAAAACGTCAAATAAGATTTTGAAAAAAAAATATGTTTTATGGGGGAATAATAAAGCACCTATCTATTAACGAAAGCATTAGATTAGTATTGGGTTTATTATTCATATTATAAGTCTTTTATTATATATTAGACTTAGAACAGATTTTCGTATATAATCTATATATAAATATCCAATGAATACAGAAAGAATAACAAATTATTATGACAAATTATCATAATGAATAAAGAAAGGATAAACAATTTTGATATTGATTGTCAAAATTATATGGTCGTCGCCCAAAAACATTTGGTGGTGCATAAATGGTCTAATTTTAGATGTTTTATATATTTTAGATCAAAAAATATAAACTTTAACAGATTGACTGTTAATTTTTTAAAAAAGATAATTTTACCCTCAATGACTATTTTTCCAACTAAACCATAATATTTTTCCAACCAAACCATAAAAAAGATCATTTTATGCATCTTGTCATTTTAATTTTGTTCGATTATTATATATTAATTATTTTAATTAATTTTAAATTTTTTTTGGATTATTATATATTAATAAATATTATTTTAATATATAATAAATATATATTAATAAGTATTATTTTATCTGATTATTAATTTTAATTAATTAATTTTTATAATTTCTTTTTGATGGATTAATTTTTTATTGGTTATTATATATTAATAAATACTATTTTAAATATTTAACATTTACATATTAATAAATATTACTTTATTGGATTATTAACTTCTTTTAAATAATATTTTTTTTAAAAATATATATCGGATTTTTATTTATTGATAAATATTATTTTAATATATAATACTTATATATTAATAACTATTATTTTATTGATTGCTAATTTTTTTAATTGTTATTTTTTTTTAATTTTTTTATTTGTTTTTAGTTAATTTCATAGTTTTCTTTATTAATTTAAAGAAAAAAAACCCAAAAAATATATCACTTACCCCACCACTTCTAATTTATTTCAAATATTTGGAAGATAATATATTTTCAAAAACAATGTTAGGTTACTTTTTATGTATCATTTTAGCATATTTACCTTTTATGCGTTGGAATAAATCATGATTATTTTGGTATATTTATTTATTAAAACCTAGTCCCTAAGGATCGACCATGTTTACCATTCTTGCTATTATTTTTAAATCATATGAGATAAATGGATTTATTGGTTAATAAATACGACACACATCAAACACCATACTATCACCCTGTATAGCAGTGGTGGGATAGTTAAGATATTAAAAAAAATGATAGTGGTGGTGTTATCCAAAAAAAAAATCCAATAAATATAAAAAAATAACTAAAAGAAAATAATACCCATTAAAGTAGTATTTACTAATATATAGATTTTATGTATAAAAATAATATTTATTAATATATAATAATCAAACAAAAATAAGTTATCCAAAAAAAAAATTAAAGAATTATTTAAAAGAATTTAATAATCCAATAAATTAATATTTATTAATACATAAATATTATATATTAAAAATAATATTTATTAGTATATAATAATAAAAAAGAAATAATTAATACAACAATAAGAAATTTAAAAAAGAATTAATGTTTAATAATTGAATAAACTTAGAAAGAAGAGGTGCAGAAACGGTCATTGAGAGTAAAATTTTCATTTTGAAAAAATTAATAGCCAAGTTTTTAAATTTAATATTTATGGACCAAAAACACACAAGGTATCGTAAACTGGACCACTGATACACCATCAAACATTTTTGGACCAAAACTACATAATTTTGACAACCAAAGGAACCATTATTGCAATTTTGTTAATTATTATTCGAAATATTGTAACATTTTCTTCCAGGTATTTTCGTTTTCAACCTAAAATTTATTTTGAAAAATAGGTCCTTACGATGGGCGTACATGATATGCACATTAGGCACAAGTCATTAAAGGATTGCGAATTTTGTTCTGTATGCGGGCATACTCATGTTGTTCCCAAAACCCAAAATTTTTAGGGTTGTGTCCCCTATTTTAGCATCCTATTCCCCCTTGGACCTCCTTATGACCAGTCTCCATCCCTCTTAGCTCTGATATCGAAACCCTAACCATTGAATGTGAGTTTTGAAGCTTTTGAGTGATTTTTGGTGTTCTTAATGGTGAAGGAAGATCATTGGAGTAGTATTGGTGCATTCAAGCTCTTGGGTCCAAAGTCTACACCTCATTGCTCATCTATAGAAGGTACAAAGTTCATACCTTGAGGCTTGTTTTGCTAGATCTTGTTAGGATTTAAGTTTATGTTTATTTTGCCCCAAAACTTATGTCTTTGTGAGTATGGACTGCTCTAGACCATTTGATATGTCCTTTTAGACATTTTTGAGGGCATGGTGTCATAAAAATGCAAGCTTGGTCCTTTCCTTTCATTCATGCATAATTTATGGAGTTTTTGGTGATGTTAGAAGTTAGGGTTGTGGGATTGAGCTCTCTTTAGCCATGGAAAGACATAAAGTTAGGGACTTCATGGATTAGAATGCCTTTAAGGGTTAGATCTAAGGTTGGGGTGAAGTTTCTTAATTATTTAGAGCTTAAAAATTAAGATTTGAGTTTATGCCGAGTACATTGAGCATAAATCTGGCTATGCCCAACGTAACTAGTTGGGAGCTCGTTTTCAAGCTTTATGCTCTACGCCAAGTGTAAAGCCTTGGTATGTCGAGCGTAAGGTCAACCGTGTTGACCTTTGACTTTTGGATCGAATGTGACTTTTGGTCAATTTGTGAGGGTTTTGGTCTTGGAAAGGGCAAAATGGTCTTTTACCCAAATTGTGGATTAGACTTGGCTTGACACTAATTAGGTTTGGATAATTTCCTTAATTGCTAATTAGGATTATTTGGTACAATTAATAGGCAGAGTCTAGTTTCGGTATTTAAGTTGTGAGTTTTATCAGTCTTCTGTGCGAGGTGAGTCTTCTCACTATACTTTTCTATGTGGTAGTATATATATATGTATATATATATATATATATATATATATATGTGTGTGTGTGTGTGTGTGTGTTGACCAGCTGGGTTTATTTGCTAATATTGTGATATGTGTTGTTGTGTGTGGGATGAGACTTTAGGTAGCCTCAAGGGTTGCTGACAACCCACAGGGTGTGCTATTTGCCCATTGAGAATTTGGGTAGTCTATAGGTTTGCTTGTAACCCATAGTTGTTTATTTGTGCTTTTTTGTATGTGGTATTTTTAACAACTCACTAATCTTCGTGCTTAAGGTTGTTGATTACATGTGTTTCAGGTATTTCTGATGATCGAGGGAAGGCGAATGCTTGATTGTACACATTCACTTACAATTTATGATTTTGGATATTTTGGGACACTATGATGTTGTGATGATGATTTGTATTTGATACTTGTGATTTTCTTGAGACGGGTTTTTATGAACAATGTTTTTAGTTAACTAAAAATGAAAATTCTGTTTGAAAATTTGGATGTTACAAAATGGCCGCCTGAACTATATCGAGAGGTTGGTGAAGATTCCTGGGTAGCAAAGTGAAGAACTTGAGAAACAAGGTGGTGAACTTGCTCAAAGTTCAGTGGCAACATAAGAAAGGCTCTAAATGGACCTGGGAGCCTGAGGCTGAGATGCGTGTTTCATAGTGGCTGACTTCGAGGACGAAGTCTAATTCACGTAAGGGAGAATTATAACACCCGTTTCTAGGTATTTCCATTTTCAACTTAAAAATGAAATAATTTTGCAAAATCGGTCCTTATATTGGGCGTACATGAAGTGTATGTCGGGTGTAAGTTATGAAAGGATCGCGACTTTTGTTGTGTACGCTAGGTGTACACATTGAGTATGTTGGGCATACTTATGTTGTTCCCAAAACCCTAAATTTTTAGTATTGTGTCCCTTATATAAGCATCCTATTCCCCCATGGACCTTCTTAGGACCACACTCCATCCCTCTTAGCCTTGATATCCAAACACTAACCCTTGAGTGTGATTTTTGAAGCTTTTGAGTGATTTTTTGTGTTCTTGGTGGTAAAGGAAGATCATTGGAGAAGTAGTGACGCATTCAAGCTCTTGGATCCAGAGTCTACACCTCATTGTTCATCTACAAAAGGTATAAAGTGCATACCTTGAGGCTCGTTTCCTAGATCTTGTTAGGGTTTAAGTTTATGTTTATTTTGTCCCAAAACCTTGGTGTTTGTGAGTATGGACTACTCCATACCTTTTGAGTTGTCCTTTCAGATGTTTGTGAGTATGGACTACTCCAGACCTTGTTAGGGTTTAAGTTAAGTTTATGTTTATTTTGTCCCAAAACCTTGGGTTTAAGTTTATGTTTATTTTGTCCCAAAACCTTGAGGCCCGTTTCCTAGATCTTGGTCATTTCCTTTCATCCATGCATGAGTTATGGAGTTTTTGGTGATGTTAGAAGTTAGGGTTGTGGGATTGAGCTCTTTTTAGCCATTCAAAGGCATAAAGTTAGGCACTTGATGGATTAGAATGCCTTTTAGGGTCAGATCTGATGTTATGGTAAAGTGTCTTAATGATTAAGAGCTTAAAAATTAATATTTCAGTGTAGGCCAAGTACACTGAGCGTAAATTTAGCTATGCCCAACATAGCAAACTGGGAGCTCATTTTTAGGCTTTGTGCTCTACGGCAACTGTAGAGCTTGGTACGTCTAGCGTAAGGTCAACTGTGTTGACCTTTGACTTTTTGACCGAATGTGACTTTTGGCCAGTTTGTGAGGGTTTTGGTCTTGGAATGGGAAAAATGGTATTTTGCCCAACTTATAGATTAGATTTGGCTTAGGACAAGTTGGGTTTGGATAATTACCTTAATTTCTAACTTGGTTATTTGGTGCGATTAATAGGCAGAGTCTAGTTTCAGCAGTTCGATTGTGAGTTTTATTAGTCTTCTGTGAGAGGTGAGTCTTCTCACTATAATTGCCTGTGTGGTAGTATATATATATGTGATAACCAACTGAGTTTATTTGCTGATGTTGTGATATGTTTTGTTGTGTATGCTTAGACTTTGGGTAGTCTCCATGGTTGCTAATAACCCAAAAAGTGTGTTGTTTGCCCGCTGAGACTTCAGGTAGTCTCTAGGGTTGCTGATAACCCATAGATGCTTATTTGTATTGTGTTGTATGTGGTATTTTGGGAAACTCACTAAGCTCCGTGCATACAGTTGTTGATTACATGTATTTCAGGCACTTCTGATGATCGCGGGAAGGCAAATGCTTGATTATACACATTCGCCTATAGTTTATGATGCCAGATATTTTGGGACACTGATATTATGATGATGATTTGTATTTGATAGTTGTGATTTTCTTGATATGAGTTTTTATAAACAATGTTTTTAGTTAATTAAAAATGAAAATTTTAGTTTGAAAGTTTGGATGTTACAAATATCCTGCATAAGAAAGATTAGACTATCACTTACGCTTATTATTATTGTTGTTTCCATTAGGTTTAGGGGAGTCAGGTGTGGTTTGGTCGCATCCCTTGCCACCGTGGCAGGGGAACACCACCCCTCTATGCGGTCTTGGGTGTGGTTTGGTCGTACCTCTCCTAGTTTTGGCCGCGAATTCTGATTAGCTGCTCCCTTTTGTGACTATCTGATTGGTTGCTCCTTTTTTGTTATTCTTTAAATTAAATTGATAAAAAAAACGTGTGACACCACTCATTGTGCGTAGCAAGGAACCACATTTTTGTGGTAAAAAATGACATGACGCCTATATGATAGTGAAGAGAGTGTGGTTTCAGTTGCACCACTTCCTCCAACCTTATAAGTTTTCATATTAGAATCTATAAATACGCGTTTTGATTAAAGAGAAAAGGGTTTCAATCATTATTAAATTACCTACGTAATAAGGATTAGATTAGAAAGGTTCATAGTAGGAATTGCACTCTATGTTTGAAATATTTGTGGCTTGAAAACTCCCCACTTAAACAAAAAGATCCACGTTTATATCTAACTGAATCTAAATAAAAAAATTTCGTCTTTAACATGTATTTCACAGGTGAAAATTCACGGATATCATGGAATCGAAACTCGAAGAACCTACATATCTAATCAAATGAGGGGTTGAAACATGATAGACTAAGACCTTCTCCGACCACAAATACCCATTACAAAAAACTGACATTCAATGGCACACATTTTTAATGACATATCTTTTTTATGCCACAATAGTATGTTTCAGTGACATATTTTATATGCCACTATAAAATTAATAAATTTAGTGGCACTTAACAACTTATGTCACTAATATTAATATTTAATAATGGCATAATAACATTAAAATGCCACTAAAAATTTTATATTTTATGTTATATACTTTTTTATATACCACTAAAGATGTATGGGATGCTTTTATTGATTTGTTTTGTGCTAGTAAAGAAATTAAATTTGTGCTACTAAAGAAATTAAATTCACTGTTCTTAACTTCTTATTCACCTCTCCAAAAAGAATCGATGTTTCCCCAATTTCTTATACACGTCCTTTTACTTTGCAAGTCTAAACAAATATTTTTCAAATTGTCAAACCCTAGCATTTTCTTTTTCTCTCTCTAACTTTTCTCCGCCATGGTTTCACGGAGGCTAGCTGTCTCCCTCTCCTCCGCCAGAGCCGCACGTGCACTATCTCAGGGGGTGTTTGGTTTAGCTTTTGTGAGTCAAAAGTCCTTTTTGTAAAAGGACTTTTTGTAAAAAAACTTTTTACAAAAGTTGTTTTTTAAAATGTGTTTGGATTGGTTTTTGAACGGAAAAAGTCAAAAATTAAAGTGTTTGGTTTAACTTTTACATGTAAAATGACAAAAAAAACATGTTTAGGGTAGATGAGGGGTATATTGGTAATTTAATATTTTTAACTGGTGAAAATTGGGAAAAGTCAGGTAATCGTGACTTTTCAAAAAGACTCAAATTACTCTATGGGAAAAGTCATTTACAAAAGTCCTTTTTCCTTTGCCAAACATCTTTTGAGACTTTTTCTAAAAGATAAAGTCAAAAGTCATTTAAAAAGCTAAACCAAACACCCTCTCAATCCCACCCTTCTCCTACCGGTAACTTTCTTAACCATGTAGTCAACTACGCTACTTCTACCGCCACCGCTCCGACCAAGCTAGCTGCAACAACCCCTGGTGAAGGATCTAACTATGGAACGATCACCAACGAGTTCATCGGAACCGGCGCGATTGGACAAGTGTGCCAGGTGATTGGTGCAGTCGCCGATGTGAGATGTAGTGAAGGATTGCCGCCGATCTTACGACATTGGAGGTTTTGGACAACTCGATCAGATTAGTTTTGGAGGCGGCGCAACATTTAGGGGAGAATATGGTTAGGACTATTGCTATGGATGGTACCGATGGGCTTGTCCGTGGTCAAAGAGTTCTCAACACCGGTTCTCCTATCACTATAAGTTTTTTCTCGATCTCAAAAAATTCAAATCATTTTAAGAAAACGATCTGATTATGTCTCGATTTCTCGCCTGCTAGTTTATGGTTCAGATCGGTAAGTCAACATGTTTAATTGTAACCAAGTTTTCTATATGTCGTTGTATGGCGATGTAACACTATTGTGCAATATTCCATGGAGCTAATCAGCTAATTCAATGTCATTGTAGGTACCTGTTGGTAGAGCAACCCTTGGTCGTATCATTAACGTCATTGGAGAGCCAATTGATCAAAGAGGCGATATTAGTAAGTGTTGCATGTCTTTCATCCTTTCCTCATGTATTAGTAATTTAGTAACTGAACTGTTTGATTCTTTTAAAACTAAGTTCTTATTTTTTGGCCCTTATATCTTTTTTCGGCTCTTAAAGCATTTTCCAATTTCTGAATGTATCATTTGATATGGAAGGGTAATTGATGAGACAAATAATTGGTATGGAAGGCATGCAATACATGTTCTTGATTATAATTGTCATATTTGTGCATGTTTAGGTTGGTATGAAAGCCATAACCTGACAAACTCAAGAACCAGATGCAATATGAAAGCAAACTGCCCAAAAGATAATCATGAATGGTTTTTATTCTGTGTCAAAATTGTATTATTAACAAGTATAGGAGTTAGGCATCTGGTTGGTGACAAAGGTGAGAACATTTCCTAGTAATATTGTAGTGACCCTAACAAAGTATTTCCCTCTTACTTTGTTACATACATGGTGGTAATAAACACATTTTTTTTGTATAGTTATTGCATATACGTATCACAATCTTATTATTGAAACCACTTTGTTTTGGCAATTTCTAGAATGATGGACCGATCAAGTGAATGAAGCAAGTGTGGGCCTTAACACAGGTTCATTGTTGAACATAGGTTCGTGCCTTATTCTGTATCCCTACTCGTATGCTTGTTTTAATTCGTATTTTATTATGAGCTATAATCGTCTGATAAGATTTTATTATTTGTAATATTTTTAAATTGTATATGGGTCTTTTATGAATGCTTGAAGGGTTGCTTATACTTAGTGGGGATTATAGAAACACTGACTAAGGTTAATGATTTCCTTTGGAATGGAAATACACATAATAGTAATTTAAATATATCTAATTTAATTTTGACGTGATTGTAAAGTTAGATTAACTATATCAATGCATTATAAAGAGATGGAAATTCTGTTAAAAATTGATTAATTTTCTTTGTTTGGTTTAGCTGTGATAGCCCACAGTTAGTTAGTCTAGAATTCCAAACCTCTTTGATAATAATTTTACATGATTTGTAATATATTATCATCATGCTCTTTTAAACTAGATCTTTTAACCTTAATTTAAACTTATGATTTGATTAAATCTAAAATTTAATGAATTTTGTTTAACATTTCTTGGAAATAACTTTGTTATCTTATTTATATAACACGTTGAAGGTTTTTTTTTGTGGTATACTTCGAGTGATGCTGGTGGAAGAGTGGACGATTGTTTGTATAAAGACCGTATTAGCATAGACTACAACGAGGTTGGGGGATTTGTAATACAATTGAGTGTACTGGAATAGAGTACATTGGTGTAATACTGTACTTCTACATTTATCATATTTATATTCTAATTATATTTTTAACTTTTATTTTAAATAATGATATTGTTCTCTATTTATTATTTTAATTGTATTTTTCTTAGTTTACATTGCAATTAAATAAAATAATTGGATCTAATTTTTGAATATGGATTTTATTTGGCAAAAAAAATGTTTCACTAAAAACAAGGTAATCACTTTTATTTTATACTAACATACAAAAAGTGTCGTTAAAATCTAAAACCCTTATAGTGGCGTAAAAAGTGTCACTAAAACCTAAAAGAGATGCAGTGACACAAAGGAAAAATGTCACTAAAAGTTTTTAGTGGGAGCGCTTCTAGTGGCACGTTTTTGTTGTGCTGCTGATTCCCATAAAATCCTTTAGTGAGATTTTTTGGTTTTTAGTGACATTTTTTCTGTACAACTAAATGATATTTTATTTGTAATGACCATACTAGTAATTGTTTAATGACAAAACTGCAAAAATGGTTCCTGTGGTTTCTTATTTTTTGTGGTTATGGTCCAAACGTTTGAAAAGTTGCAGATTTGGTCATTTTCAATAAATTTTGTTGTGGTTGTGGTCCCTCATCTGTTAAGTTCCTTAAAATGACAATTTTTCCCATGGACCATTTTCATAGTTTTGTCTATTGGTATACTATAAGGACCATTTTTACATATATTCTATTTTATTTTAATAAAGTTTTATATATTAATAGATATTATTTTTAATATATAACATTATATATTAATAAATATTTTTTTATTGGATTATTAATTTATTTTAGTTGATTTTAAAAAAAAATTGTTGGAGTAATTTTTTTATTAAATTATTATACATCAATACATATAGTTTTTAATATATAATATTTATATCATAATAAATATTTGGATTATTAATTTTTTTAGTTAATTTTTGTAATTTTAATTATTTTTTATTGTATTATTACGTTTAATTTATTATTTTCTTCATATACTAAATGTTGTTTTATTGGATTATTAATTTATTTTAGCTAATTATTTTTTTAAATTTTTTTATCGAAGTAATTCTTTTTTATTGAATTATTATATATCAGTACATATAGTTTTTTATATATAATATTTATATCATAATAAATATAATGTTATGAGATTATTATATTTTACGAAACATTATTTTATTGGATTATTAATTTCTTTTAGTTGACTCTTTTTATCATTTCTTTTTGTTTGAGCAATTTTTTTATTAGATTATTATATATCAACAAATATTATTTTTAACATATAATATTTGCATCATAATAAATAATACATTATTGGATTATTAGTTTTTGTAAATTTTTTTTGAATTATTAATTTATTGAAATATTACTTTTTATTTATTATAATTTTAATATAATAAATACTATCTTATTGGATTATTGTTTTATTTTGAATGTATACTATTAATTGTTTTTAATTTTATTTGTTCCACCAAAAAATCGCCAAAATATGTAAAAGTGTCGATTATCATCATCAAAAATTAGCTAGATCACCTCCAAACACCTTAATCGGAGGTTCAATAGATACTATACCTTATTCCACCCAGCGTTGTTGGTAGCCACCTGCGATAACTTTCATAATCCACTGGAATCCTTTATATCCCACATAATGCGCAACAAACTCCGATAACATTTATAAGTGGTGGTGGTGACCGGGTGATGGTGGTGATATTTTCCCAATGGTTTCTCATTATAAGCTAGATGAAATGAAAGCGTTTGGCACCGATCCTAACGATTTCGATGATGAGAGACCACGATTTTGCGTATCCCATGACTTTGTGGTGGAACCAATAAAATTAACAAGAACTACTATTATGATCCAATAAAATAATATTTAGTATACGAAGAAAATAATAAATTAAAAGTAATAATCCAATAAAAAATATTAAAAAAAAAAGAAATTACAAAAAATAACTAAAAGATAATAATAATCCAATAATATAATATTTATTATGATATAAATATTATATATTAAAAACTATATATATTGATATATAATAATTCAATAAAAAAATAATTACATCGATAATTTTTTTTCTAAAAAAGAATTAGTTAAAATAAATTAATAATCCAATAAAACAATATTTAGTATATGAAGAAAATAATAAATTAAAAGAAATAAAAGAAATAATCCAATAAAAATAATTTAAAAAAAAAATAAAAATATTAACTAAAAGAAATTAATAATCCAATAATATAATATTTATTATTATGATATAAATATTATATATTAAAAACTATATGTATTGATATATAATAACTCAATAAAAAGAATTACTATAACAAAAAAAAATCAAAAAAAAAATCAACTATAATAAATTAATAATCCAATAAAACAATGTTTGTTAGTATATAATATTATATACTAAAAATAATATTTATTATAATATAATACTTCAATAAAATAAAAAAGAATATATGCAAAAATGATCCTTATGGTATGGTATATGACAAAATTGCAAAATTGGTCCCTGGGGTAAAATTGTTATTTTAAAAAAGTTAACAGCCAACCAGTTAAACTTAACGGATGAGGGACCAAATCACAATAAAACTTGTTGAAAAGGATCAAATCTGCAACTTTTCAAACGTTTGGACCATAACCACATAAAATAAAAAACCATGGGGACCATTTTTGCAATTTTGTCTTGTTTAATATCAAAATAGTGATTGTATTTCAACCAATCTATAAAATGATAGTTTTTAAAGACATTTATATTTGGTGTTAAAAATGAATCTCACATAAAAATAATATGATATTTAAAGGTTGTTTAAAATGAAAATGACTTTTAAAATAAATAATATGATATTTAAAGGTGATTGAAATGAAAATTACTTTTGAAGTTATATACTAAAAGTTGATTGGAATCCGCTTAAAATGTAACAAAACAGAAACTTTGTTACTGTTTCAACAAAAGTGTGTTTATCACGTTTCAAGCCATATTCTTTTTAGTCCACCTCATCAAAGGGATGGGGGTGTCGTTCTTCAATTTTTTGAAAGCAGCTAAAAAGTGTCGCAAAAAACAAAACAACTTCGTGAAAATGCTAGCATCACAACTTTTGACATTACAAATACTTCTTTTACATATTTAAATGTGCATATATTTATTACAAATACTTCTTTTAGAAAGCTTTAACATGTCTAAATGTCCATAGTATATTATTTATTACAAATACTTCTTTTAGAAAGCTTTAACATATTTAAATATCCTTCATATATTTGTTACAAATACTTATTTTAGAAAGCTTTAAAATATTTAAATATCCTTCATATATT